GGGGTGGGTGACCCGCGGCTGGCTGCCACCTGCCCATAAAGCCACTCTCTCACTCCCCCTCTTCAACAGGACAGGGAAAAGCAAGATGAAAAAGTTCATGGGTTGGGCAAAACAGACTCGACTTGGGGAAAATTTTTTTTTTTTTTGCCAATTAAAAATAGAATAGGATGGTGAGGAACAAAGACAAAAGTAAAACCACATTCCCTCCACCCCCTTCTTTCCAGGCTCAACTTTACTCCTTCACTCTTCTGCCTCCTCCCGGCATCGAGGGGAGCTGCGCGGGGGGATGGGGAACGAGAGTTGTGGTCAGTCCATAACACTTCGTCTCTGCTGCTCCTTCCTCATCACACTTTTCCCCTGCTCCAGTGTGGGGACCCTCCCACGGGATACAGTCCTTCAAAAACTGCATCAGTGTGGGTCCCTCACAAGACACAGTCCATCACGAACAGACTGCTCCAGCATGGGTCCCCTGTGGGCCACAGTTCCTGCCAGAAAACCTGCTCCTGCATGGACTCCTCTTGACGGACTGCAGCTCCTGCCAGGAGCCTGCTCCAGCATGGGCCCCCCGTGGGCTGCAGCTTCCTTCAGAGCATCTCCACCTGCTGCAGCATGGGGTCCTCTACGGGCTGCAGCGTGAATATCTGCTCCACCATGCTGGTCCACGGGCAGCAGGGGACAACCTGCTTCACTCCGGTCTCTCCACAAGCTGCAGGGGAATCTCTGCTCCAGTACCTGGAGCACCTCCTCCCCCTCCTCCTTCACTGGATGTCTGCAGGGTTGTTTCTCTCACATGTTTTTTCACTGCTCTTTCACAGCTGCTGTGCAGCATTTTTTACCCTTTCTTAAATATGCTTACACAGAAGTGCCACCAGCTTGGCTGACGGGCTCAGCTTTGGCCAGTGGTGGGTTCATCACAGAGCCATCTGGGACTGGCTGTGTCTGACACAGGGCAGCCGCAGCCTCTCCCCAACCCTGCAGCCCCCTGCTACCAAAACCTTGCCACATAAACCCAATACATATGTAGATGTGAAACATAACTTTCCTCTACAAAAGCCATAGCAATTCTTTCCTGTTAAATATTTCTTTTTCTTCTAGTGGTATTATTCTTTTATTATAGATTCCGCCGATCTTTCTGGTTACAAATACCTATATGCCTGATATGTCCCTCAGATTCCTGCCTGAGTCCTCTCTAAAAATTGGCGTTACATTTGCCACTTTCTGCAGAGCACAATAAGTAGTTTGGTAATGTTTCGTTTTACCATGGTTCCTTCGGAATTGTTCAGTGAATATCATCTGGTCCTGGAGATCTGTTTTTCATATTAATGGCTTGTTCCAGAATGTCTTCTAGTGATGTTCAAAGGACAGATTCGAAGTCTCTTCTTCTCTCTTAAAAACAAACAAAAAACCTGAAAAAAACCAAACTCTGGTTTGGTTTCCCCAAAGCACATTCATGGTGAACTCTGATGCAAATAATTCACTTGGCTTTTCCACTGAAGTTGTTCTGTTTCATTGAAAGCATTTTTAAAGTCTTGATAACCTATTGTCGTAACATTTATAGGTCTTCTGTTTTCTTATATATTAGCAGCTAATATGTTTTCAGCATGTTTTGCAATCTTTCCCTCAGTCTTTTTTACCTTTCTGTCTTGTGGTTATGTATTACATTTTCTACAATTCATGCTGTGCTTTTGTTTTGTTTCAAGCCAGGTCCCAATATTGACAGAACAACAACTAATTTTTCTTTGTTTTTATCTGATGTTAAAACATGTTTGTTCATTTTTTATGTGTGTGTAGGGGTTGTAATTTCCAAAGATCTGTGTATGTTTTGTGATATAAATTTACTCTGGAGCTCAAATCTGACAACAGTTGAAAAATCCGGCGTTTGCAGATCACTTAAATTTTCAGTTGATCGGCTTAAAAAGCTTTCCCCTTTTCAAGTTGGTCTTTTTTTAACTGACGGGCATTGTACTGAATATTTTGGGGTTTGCTGGTTTTTAGTTGGGTTTGGTTTTTTTTTCCCTCACATGAAAGTGTTGAATTTGGGTAGTGATACTTTGCACTGCTCAGGAATAAATACTGCATTGCTGCTTCTCGTGTTATTCCTTTGGCTAGCCAGGTACTGATCCAGGTGGTTGTGAGTCTCTGGTGGCAGGACTAGGGACTTATTATTGCTAGTTTTAATTTGTGCTTGTAATCAGGAAAAATAAAATATGATTCCACAAAAGAATAAAATTATCTTCATAAATGCAAATACTTTATTGCTCCCACAGTTGCCAAACTGTAGCCTGTTTTATTAGGAGAAAGTGGTGACATTTTTCTTTTATCCAGCTTATTCAGCTTGGAATAAGCTTGGAAAAAGCAAGGCTTTTTCCTTGCTACCAGATCTCTTGTAACTGCATTCTTCATTTTCTCAGTTACAGTGAGATGTTGGCTTTCACCCTGACTGCCTTCTTGGAGCTCATGGACCATGGTATTGTCTCTTGGGACATGGTCTCAATAACCTTCATCAAACAGGTGAGTTTGGGTAAAGGGGGCGAGTGGATGCTATTTCTTCTTGTGCTTTAATGCAGCTTCCAGGAAGAGCAAGATGACTCTGAGAAGCGAGTACTCATTGAGAGCACAGTGCACCCAGCTTTCTGAGCCCTGTCTCCCTTAGCTTGTCTCACTCACCACAAGGTTTCCTAGATGGGCATCTATTGATCTGCTGGTTCATCTGTTTTTAGATTGCAGGGTATGTGAGTCAGCCTATGGTAGATGTCTCCATCCTACAACGATCCCTAGCCATTCTAGAAAGCATGGTGCTAAACAGTCAGACTCTGTATCAGAAGATAGCAGAAGAGATCACCGTGGGGCAGCTCATTTCTCATCTGCAAGTGTGAGTGTCCACCTAACAGTGGTGTGATTTAAATCAATTTTATGAATATCTGTTAATTTGAAAATACATCCTTTTACATTTAAAATACTTAAAGATGCTATTTTTAAAGTATTACTGATATGACATCTTACTTGAACTTTAGGATTTCTAACAGATTTTTCAAAAAGTAAGATCCTGGAAAAAAATGTGCTGTGTTCTGGAAGCACTTAAGCACATGAGTATGTCTTGAACATATATTGCTTTAACAAATGCACAAGCATGTTCAGTGTTGGGAACAAACCTGCGTCTTACTAAAACAACTTCCCAAAGCTTCTGCATCCAGTCATTTGTTACTTTCACCCTTCTTTAAACTGTTTCCACTAGAATCTAAGAGCTCATCATCTTCTGGTTTTTGTCCTGCATATTAAGGAAGAAAACAATGGCTTTTCTTGCTTTTTTTCCCATCTCCCCTTCCTCTCTTTCCAAACGAACTGGCAAATTAATATCTGGCTTTTAAGGCTGTTTGTCTAGGTCAGTTCTACTCTTCCATAAAAAAAGAAGCGTGCATTTGTTAGAGCTTTAAGTAGGTGGTGTTTTTTTTTCTCAAACCTTTTAATTCTGAAAATGTGGAAAAGCACCATTTGTGAGTATGGTTAATATTCCTTAATCAATGAACAGTAATTTAAAAAATTATAGTGCAAACAATGTACTGCATCAATGTCACTGTGTGGTTAGAGTGTTTATACATTTGAACTTGGTTAACAGAAAAGCTAAACTAATTCTCATGAACACTGCAGCAACTTTGTTCTGCGAAGAGTATATGTTCTTTCAGCTTTATAATTTCAATTTTAGTAAAACACAGGTTTGGTCCTAACACTGAACACACTTGTGCAGTTGTTTAAGCAAAATGTCTTTGTTCAAGACATACTCATATGCTTAAGTGCTTCCAGAACACAAAAGGTTGCTGAAGAAAGTATCTATGCAGGGAATATTGTAGAAAGGGAGGCTGGAGAGTGAGTCGGAATTTGCTGGTGTTTGGTTGGCAAGACTATCAGGAGGGAGCAATCTTTAACAGAGGATAGGTTCTGGAAGAACAGATCCATGGAAACAAGTTTGAAAGAGATGAGTTAGAAGAGGAGAAATTAATTTAAAAATTGTTTTGCTGTGTCAAAAAGCAAGCAGCAAACCCTGAAAAGGAGGGTAGAAGAGGTAAAGTGACAGAATTCAGAGACTGCGAAGCTTGGAGACCCAAGGAAAACCTAGGATGATGCATGAACATTTGCATGTTTGAAGTATGACAGATTGACCAAAATGAAGAAGATGTGGAAGGGAGCAATAGAAGAGGAAGGTTCTTATCCACAGATATGCCAGGGATAAATGCCAAAGTGGGGAAAATAGCTATTTAAGCTAAAAGATGTTTTAGCTTTAGATGTTTTATAAAAGGTTAGTTGTTTTTTTTTTTTTTAATATATATAAAAATGTTTTTTAAAAAAGTATACACGCACACACAAATTCATTTAGGTGATGCACTGCACTTCTGTTAATCAGAAGAGCTTGAAGTTCTGCAGAAGTCTCCCAAGAGTAATAGTATAGCAAGAAACAAAACTGGATTTGATAGAGCATCAAGATGGGGGTGGAAAAGAGTGTGATTGGCATTTGGAAGCTTATTCAAAACATCACAAGTGAAACTACACACTTCGCGTGATCTAGGAGGGGACTAAGCACCCTTTACCCGAAGAAGCTCTTCAGTGAAAATAAGAAAAAGACGTGTGGGTTGGGCCAAAGTATTGAGGTTGGAAGGCAATGCCATACAGACAGGCATGCTTCCCCCTTAGTTCCTTTTGCGTTTGGTTGTTTCCATTGACATAGGGGAGAAAAATTACTTGCTCTGTATAAGTTTCTAGATGTACCTATATAACAGACTGCAGTATAACTAGGCTTTACAGAGATAGTTTCAGCATTGGAAACAAACCATGGTGGTGCTGAACTCTGAGCTCTGCTGGGCTGCGATCTGCACTATCTTCTGAATAATGGAGCTATCAGACAGCAGTTTCTGTCAGCTTTTTGCAGGCCTTATGAAGAGTTGGATGGCATAAAAGTAGATTACCTGAATCCTGCTTGTCTGTTGAAATGCAAGATAGCTGTAGTAAATGTTCTTACAGTGCAGGCAAAGCAGCAAGCTGTAATGTTCTATACTGTCTGTTCTCTTATGATCTTCCCATTTTCGTTTCTGCAGCTCAAACCAAGAGATTCAGACATATGCCATTGCACTGATCAATGCCCTCTTCCTGAAGGCACCAGAGGACAAGAGACAGGTTTGTTCTTGCTTTTTGACTTTAAACCTGAATAATGGTTACTGATTGGCTGTTTACTTTGTGTCTCAGAAATCATATTGTCTGGGCAAGGCAGACCTCAGACCTTGCCAAGAACTTATGTAGCTGTTTGCTATGTGGCAACATAGGCAAAAAAGTATCATCCCATTAATGTGTTCTGGAGCAGCACATCTATGTTTAGGAGATGCTCAGAAAGGAATCTGAAAGGCCTTGAGAGATGGAAAGTAATCCTCTATACAGCATGGAAATTTTTTTTGAAGAAAGTTAATTCCATATGGGAGAGGTAGGCTGGGTAGAGTCCTTGGGATTGTATGTACTTCCTAAACAAACACCCCACTACCCCCTTGCCCAAAAAACGGACCTTTCTTAAGTCATAGGTGATGTGAGAAATGAAACACCTGTCCTGCTCTGAGGAAACCCCCAAGATCTCAGCTACATGCAAGATGTGCATATGTCTGTATTGTGTAGCTTCGCTGTGTTAAGCCTTTCTTCTCTAGTGCCCTGTTTGTGCCTTATTTCTGGACTCCGAGCTAAATCCTGTCTGCTTCTCTTTGTGCCTTTTTTTGCTTTCTGCCAGCAGGACAAGCTGCTTAACCCACTAGACCTGCCCATCACTGTAAGTAACTCGAGCCTGGGGGCTGGTCATGCGGAACTGTAGGCATGTTAGCATTTCTCCAGTTATGCCTCCTTGTATCTCAGAAATGATGCATACAGGCTTCAGATAGTGGATGAGCCTAGGGAAAAGGGTGGGAGGGCTCCTGGGGATGTACTCAGATTGTGAAGGGTAGAAGAATCAGTAGCAGGAGAAATCTTGAATGACGTATTGTGCACACAAGATAATAAAGATGATCGTAAAAGGAAACTGATACTACAAGACTGACCAGGTGAACCAATTTTAAAACTGGAACCAGTTCTTTAGTAGTCTGAGTCTCCTTAAACTTACTACAGCCTGAGTTTATACCCCAAATCTCAGTTGCGTTAATGACAGTTTCATATCCAGCTGCGTCCTTCTAAAGGTAGAGCTGTTTGTCTGTGAAGGGCAGTCACAAAACTTAGTGCTGGTTGGGGGCTAGAGCATACATTCTGCCTAATCTGTGACTTCTCCCTTTGGGAATTGTACTATAAGAATGTTTTTTGCCCTGTGCTATCTCCAGGGGAATCTTGTTAATAGGTTGATTTGAAACCTTCTGTATCTTGAGATTCTGGTACATGTTTTAGATTTTTTTCTGGGTGGCACAGGGAATGCTCCACTTTTGCCAAGGATGCAGTGCCTTCAGAGGGGAAACTATGGTCTCAATAAATGTTACATAATTTCTAAAATTAATGGATATGCTTAACACATGAAAATAAGGAAGAACATACTCCTCTGTTGGTAATTTAGCCAAGATACTAAACTTCATAGCAAACAAAATTCCAAGGGATCTTTCACTTCTTTTCTTTTTTTTTTTTTTTTCTTTTTTTTTTTTTTTTCCACTTGAACACAATCCACATGACCACAGAGGGCCATGAAGATGATTAAGGGACTGGAATATCTTTCATATGAATAGAGGCTGAGAGATTTGGAATTGCTCAACCTTGAGAAGAGAAGGCTCAGAGGGGTCTTATCAATGTGTATAAATATCTGATGGAAGGGAATAAAGAAGAGGGAGCCCAACTCTTCTCAATAGTGCCTGCTGACAGGACAAAAGGCAATGGGCACAGCTTAAAACCCAGGAAATTCCACCTGAACGCACACACACAAACAAAAGAAAAATTAATATAAGAGTGGTCCAACACTGGAACAGGTTACCCAGAGAGGCTGTGAAGTCTCCATCAGTGGAGATATTAAAAACCTGACTGGACGTGGTTCTGCGCAACCTGCTCTGTCTGAACCAGGGGAGTTGGACTAGACAATCTCAAGATGTCTCTTCCAACATAAATGATTCTGTGATTCTGTGACCCCATCAAGCAGCAAAGTGGGCATTACTGGACTCTCAGCAGAACATAGATCCCTTAGCAGTGGTTAGGCTGTGTGCGTGCTCATGCTTCTTACTACGCTATTTAGAATTGTTTAATTGTCTTTGTCCTTCCCACTGTTTATCTGCTTCAGTCACCTGTTACTTCATCCCATGTACAAACTAATTCCTTCAGAGTAAGGATTCTTTGTGTTGCATGCACAAACAAATCCTAACAGCAGGCCTTGTTCTATTCTCAGTACTACATCTCACAAATCATAGTAAAAAATAATGACTCAGAGTGCAGTGTGTGATCTCTGAAACCACTTCCTACTACATCTAGATGCTTCTTAGATATCTTCCACTCAAGCACTGACTCATTTTGATTGTAACATGAGCGCTGCTGAACTTGCAGCCATTATGGCTTGGCTGTCAGCCAGCATATCGCTTTCTTGTTTTAGGAGGTTTCTGTCTGGAGCAAAAGTGATAATATGGACTTGGAATGGGGCTAATATACACATTTTACCAGACTCCTTATAAAGCCTGTCAGGAGCAGGGTTGATAAGAGCAGTTGGAACAGTCTTGGATTGCTCAGAATGTACAGCTGATTGAATGCAGTTGTCTAAGACTGCACATCTGCTTCCAATTCTCAATCCACACTGCATAGGAATGTGAAGAGATCTCAGACCGGCAGTTCTTTTGGACTTTTTTCAGATGATATATTGCCCAACAGTTTTTTCTTACCCAAAGATTTTGCTTATAACAGCAAAATTCTGATAATTCCATCTTGACATTAGCACTTGTGCCACTCTCCTAGCAGGTGTGATGAGATCACTGGTATTTTAAAATAAGTACATCTTCACAATTTGCAAGGAAAGCACAGGTTAGATTTTTGCAGGTGCCTGTGTAATTGGTCCCGGAACTGAAGGCTTGCAGCAGATACTTGCATCTGCTGTGACTGTCATCATGACTTGATGGTTGGAAACCCTTCTCATCTGGGGAAGGAAGCCATGCAGTAAAGAGGGAAACTGGAAGCTTTCCTTTAAGCATGAAAATTATTTACCCTTTACTTTTGTAAACTGAAGTGCTTCTGCAAATTGTCCTTAAACTGACTTCTGAACATCTCTTTAGGAACTGAGACAAAGGAAATGTAAATTTCAGAGGGAGAGTTTTTGAGAGGGAGGAGACCTGAAAACTACATCCTGTAGCCCTTGTTATCTTGGGTGTATACCTAGGTATAGAAAGTTGTGAAATGCTAATTGAAGGACCCTCTTGTAGATGACAGATTTTTCTGGGCAACCCACAGTATGCTCCCTGCTGCCATATCTCCTGATACTGAAATATCATTAGATGTCCAATGTTAAGCTAAATTTTCTTCTGTTCTTTGAATACCTTAGTGCCTTTCTCCACATTAATGATGTTTTGTGAGGGATCCATCCATGAGTTGTGCCATGGTAAAGATGACCCTTGCATCCCAACTTGATGCTTGCTTTGTGGTGAGATGCTAAATTGACAGTCTGTAGTAAAAGCACTTTGTTGTGTGCCAGTGCTATCTCCAATTCATAGGCTTCCTTCTTTCTCTCCTTTCTGCACAATGTTGGCTTTTTGTTTATATTTCATTCATGTTATTTTATCTCTAAATTCCACAACAGGAAATGGCTAACGCATTTGCCCAGAAGCACCTGAGGTCTATCATCCTGAATGTAAGTATGTCTGGAATGACAGAGTGCTTCCTAATGTTCTCTCAGTAGAGGTTTCACTTGTGCAGAGTGTAAATTCTGCTGCCCTCAGGGCACTTCCAGAAGAGTGACTCTTTCAAAGGTGAAATTGGAGCCACTTGTTCAAAAGGGCATTATCAGGATGCTTCTTTCTGCTGTTACAGAGCATTTATCATTATACTTCTGATGGAATATGGAGCTTAAACATCTGAATGTTCATATACAGAGATGTACATGCAGCGTGGCATACGCCTACAGCTAATACCTCAGTTTTTATTTGTATTCTCTTCATTTCTACCCTATCCTTTATTTTGCAGCATGTGATCAGAGGAAACCGCCCAATTAAAACAGAAATGGCACATCAGCTGTACGTGCTACAGGTCCTGACCTTTAATCTCCTGGAAGAGAGAATGATGACCAAAATGGATCCCAATGATCAGGTCACTATTAGAGCTGAGTAAGATCTGATAGAATAGGACGTACAAGGGGCCTTATTCCTGAGCTCCTTAGCTCCATAGAATTTGCAGTAGGTGGTGCATAAAGTTTCAAAATCACCCCTCACATTGTAGTCCTTGAGATTAGGGTATGCTCATGACCATCCTGCTGTATGCTGTGGGACTTTTAGAGACGTAAGTGGTCACTGGACGCCATATATTCCTTTCTTGACCAGTGTGATGCCAGCTGTCAAACTGATTACTCCACCTCTATGGAGCGCACATCCTTTTATCCATTTCTTTGCAGTATACAAGGAAGCTGGGCATTTTTAAGGTGTCTCTTAGTCAGTTCTTAGATGCATTGTAGTCTTGAGTGAGAAATGCCTTAGCATTATCTGAATGCCTAGAAATTGCCTTTAATTAAACTTGAGGCAGTTAAAGAAAAAGGCAAATAAATACTTTGCTTGACCGAATACACTAAAACTTGCCATTTTGAAATGGATTGCCTCTTTTTACGTAATGTTAATGACCTCTGGCATCTCTCTGTATTCACTGTGTGAGCTCTGGAGAGAGAGGTAGAACTGTGCATTATGTGAAAATACTGCCCTAATGATTGATCACGTTACCATTTCTCTGCCTTCTGTCCTTCAGGCACAGAGAGACATCATATTTGAGTTGAGAAGAATTGCATTTGATGCGGAGTCTGACAGCAACACCGTCCCCGGCAGTGGAACAGAAAAACGCAAAGCCATGTACACCAAGGACTACAAGATGCTGGGATTCACTGTATGCATCTAGAGAGAGTGCTGACTGTAAAGCATGTAAAGGCAATCTAAGCAATCTCCATCAGAGTTGTGGGGAAGTAAGGAACAGAAATAGCTGTTTGCTTTACTATACTTCTGTATCTGAGTTTTAGAAATTTAGCTACACTCAGACTCCCAAGGAAGATCATTATGAACTTGCTGATCGGTTAAATGCCAGGGCTCATTAGGCACATTCTCTGGAGATATTTACTTACCATATGCACCTATTCTATGAAGAACTTGGAATTGGCCTGTCTTCTAGAAAGTACAGATAGTGTTGTCAGCAGGTGTCCAAGGTTACCCCTGGGATAGATGTGAGGGAGTGCTTGATGGACAGGCGGTTGTAAAATTCCTTCAGAAAAGGTTCTCACACAATTTCTTTGAGCTCATTTGTTTGGGTTCTTTCTACATACTCCTTTCACAGAATCACATCAATCCAGCCATGGATTTTACTCAGACTCCTCCAGGGATGCTGGCATTGGACAACATGCTTTACTTGGCCAAATTTCATCAGGACACCTATATCAGGGTAAGTGAAGCTGCTGTTTTTTGCAGATACCAACACCTCAGCAGCTCTTCTTAGTGTGTGTTGCATCCTCTTCTTGTAGATTGTTCTGGAGAACAGCAGTCGAGAAGATAAGCATGAGTGTCCCTTTGGGCGCAGTGCAATTGAGCTTACTAGGATGCTTTGTGAGATCCTGCAAGTTGGGGAACTCCGTAAGTACCATTTATTACCCCAGCTTTCCAAGTTGCTGGGCTGATGCTTCTGGAAGTAGCTTACAGGCTGACCAATATTCACAAGCATTTGTACCTTGATCTCACTTCTGCCATGTAAGGATAGGGGGAGCTTGGAGTTAGTTGCACTATCAGTGTCCCAGTGATAATACCAGTATCGAAGTAAAGTAAGAAATTTTGTTGTGTGCGCTCTGGTTCTCCTGAAAAACTGACACAAGCAGAAGGCTTCAACTTCCTGAAGCTTCAGCAGGGTGCTGTATAAAAAAAACACTCTAGAAACCATCATGAACTTGAGAAAAGTTTAGTAGCTCTGACAGTCTCAAAACAGCATTCTGAGACAATTAACCATTATAAGAAATTCTGTCAGAGGAGCGTGGGAAACAACTGCAAGTAGTCATTTGGGGGGACTAGAATGAAAAGGGTACATGAGTCACAGAGGCTTGTATGGTGAAGCGTGGGGATAGTTGCCATTCCCAATATAGACCGTCTATGGGGAGACAAAGCATTGAACTGTCTTAATCTCTTTGAGTTAGTACTATTACATACCATCAGGTTTCTGTCACTAGTAGTGAATTTTAGTTACTCTTAGTAGCTCTTGTGCAATATGCTCACATGGTTGTGGTTTCTGTTTCTTCCTGAAGCCAATGAAGGCCGGAATGACTATCACCCCATGTTTTTCACCCATGACCGTGCATTTGAGGAGCTATTTGCCATCTGCATCCAGCTGTTGAACAAGACTTGGAAAGAAATGAGGGCGACAGCAGAAGACTTTAATAAGGTCAGAGTGGAGAAGAGGTATTTTTGTAGAATCTTTTGCAGAACAGCACGTGTTCACTCAGCCTGTACACTTGGTTGAAGAGTAGGGCGCAGAAGGTATGACAGGGCATTGACGTGGGCTGTAAGGGAGGATGGTCCAACTTTTATTTGGTATGACCTGAGGTCATTCTTTGTTCTTCTGGATCTTCAAAGTCACTAGTACGTTCACACTCCTGGCCCCGGTTACTCTATGTCAGTTCTTTGCTTCCACTGAGCTATGCCCTGGTTCTCTGCTGCCATTAAGCAGCAAGAATGTGATGTGCTTTTCCCCCTGCCCAATCTCTTTAGGTTATGCAGGTTGTGAGGGAACAGATCACACGGGCTCTCCCCTCTAAACCAAACTCCTTGGACCAGTTCAAGAGCAAACTGCGCAGCCTGAGCTATTCTGAGATTCTGCGACTACGCCAATCTGAGAGAATGAGCCAAGATGACTTTCAGTCACCACCTATTGTGTAAGTGCCTAACAAAACCAATTGCCTTCTGCGCTTGCTGTTATCTCAATTTTCTGCTTACTGTTCCATATTTGATTCCCAGGGAGCTGAGAGAGAAAATCCAACCAGAGATCTTGGAGCTGATAAAGCAACAGCGCCTGAACAGGCTTTGTGAGGGAAGTAGCTTTCGAAAAATTGGAAATCGCAGAAGACAAGGTAAGGTGACAGCGTCCACTGCATTTTTTTCATGTGAAGAACTGTAGGCAAATAAGATCTAATGGATTAATCCGTCAGCAGGTGTGTTGCCAGAAAGGAAAGCTGGTTACCTGGGCTATCTATAACAGCCAGTAGTTTGGCATGAAACAGATCTGCATTTCTTAGAATGCTGCCATCCCCTCATGAACAGGAAGCAGTGCTGAGGAATTGGGGGAGCAGAGGCATTGGGTGGGGTGACCATAATGTAGTGGCTGTAAGACCTTACGTGAATGATCTTGCTCAGCTTACTCTACCTGATGCGTGTTCCAGAAAGATTTTGGTATTGTCGCCTGGCTCTGAATCACAAGGTGCTACACTATGGAGATCTGGAAGATAATGCCCAGGGGGAAGTGACCTTTGAATCTCTACAGGAAAAAAGTAAGTCCCGATTACTGCTCTGAGCACACTGTGCAATGTTCTGTGCTCTGCCGTCTAGAGGCTGTTATGAGTACCATCCTAGAGATGAGAGAAAAAGAGCTGTGGCTGAAGCCCTAACTGAGATGAGATCAACTTTTGGTCCTTGCCCAAATCCTTTGAGTCTTGGAATTGCTTGGTATTTCTTATAACAGCCAACTGTAGGGATGTGTTACTGGTAATGTGTTTTGGAAAACTGCAGTAATAAGCTACAGGAACAATGCTCAGTTGCAAAGACAAAACAAAGTTCATCTTTTCATCTTGTTTGTGAGTTTTACTTTTTCACTGTTAGTTCCAGTTGCAGACATCAAAGCCATTGTCACAGGGAAGGACTGTCCACACATGAAGGAGAAAAGCGCACTGAAACAGAACAAGGTAAGTGCTCCCTTTTCGCCTGTAATATCCAATGCTGTAGAGTTGAAAACTGTGAAAGCAAGCAACGGGGCAAATGATCTTCCACACTGCAGGTGTATTGTTTACAAAACCCATCTCATATCTGGGCCTTTTCCTAGTACTCATTTGTGATTGCTAGGCGCTGTGAGCATAGTCTGGTTGTGCTATAGGCTATTCGGAGTTGCTCAGAATAATGATATGGGAAAGTGCACTGAGCTGCAGCAAGGCAGCTTCTCTTCTTGGGTTAGTAGGCAGAAGGTGCTGTGATGTTTTGTTCAGTCAATGAGTGAAAGATTCTTTTCCATTCAGGAAGTGTTAGAATTGGCCTTCTCGATATTATATGATCCTGATGAGACCTTGAACTTCATTGCACCTAATAAATATGAGGTAAGAAACATAGTGGTTAAGCAGTAGAATATAAAGCAATTTACTTCAGAGATTAAGAAGGATCGGTTGCTTCTTATTAAAGGCTTGAGCAGGATGTCTCCCACCAGGTTCATTCTTAGAAAGTGTTGCTGATACTTAGTGTTACTGTTTTTTTTTCCCCAGTTATCTTTCTCTTCTAAAAAAAAAAAAAAAATTCCTACTCTGATTTCCCTTAGTCTGGACTGCTACTTTCTTTCCTCCTATGCAGTCAGTTGTTCCCTTTTCCCCCTTCTATAAGGCACTGATACCTAAAATAGCTTTGCTTTTTCTGTTATTATGCCACAATAGAAACTCTTGGCCCTCTCCTAGAGCCATGGGGTCATGCTTACTTCTAGGCTTCCAACTTCCATTGGAAATTTCTATGGGCACTGTTTTGGGGTTGGGTCCCCCCCCCCCCCCCATAGGTTAATTCCCTCCCATGTTTCCTATTTTGGAGCTGTATAGGAGTATCTCTAATTGTTACGTGGATGGAAAGATTCAACATAACCTATCATTTATGCCCGGAGTTGTGAATTATCCTTTTTTTTCCACAGTACTGTATCTGGATCGATGGGCTTAATGCGCTCTTGGGGAAGGACATGTCCAG